CCGCAGTGAGTCATGCAAGAGAGAAACCTGATATTTTGCAACTCATAGACTAGAGAAATTTCTGGGTAATGAAGACCATATGGCTAAATGTCATTCAAATTATGCTGGAGCCAAAAAGAAGGAAAAAGGGAGGGGAGGGGGGAGTTTTTTTTTGGCATGAATAGATTCTGGCAGCAGCTTGGGCCCACGCCCCAATTAAGTCATTAATCAGGGGTTGTTTTGAAAAGGGTCAAAAGTGGTTACTAATATGCAGGTAAGGGACGCGGTGGCTCGGTGGCTAAGACGCTGATCTTGTTGATCAGAAGGTCGGCAGTTCGGCGGTTCGAATCCCCAGCGCCGCATAACGGAGTGAGCTCCCGTGACTTGTCCCAGCTTCTGCCAACCTAGCAGTTCGAAAGCACGTTAAAAAATGCAAGTAGAAAAATAGGAACCACCTTTGGTGGGAAGGGAACGGCGTTCCGTGCGCCTTCGGCGTTGAGTCATGCTGGCCACATGACCACGGAGATGTCTTCGGACAGCGCTGGCTCTTCGGCTTTGAAACGGAGACGACCACCGCCCACTAGAGTCAGGAACGAGTAGCACATCTGTACAAGGGGAACCTTTACCTTTATATATAAAAATGGCTGTGTGTATGTTCCAGTATAGTATAGCTATGAAACGCCTCGAGCAATTTCAACCAAACTTGGAACACGAATGACTTACTCTCTGGAAATAAATACTGTGGGGGTAAGACAACCCTCAGGTGTGTGCCTGTGTGTGTGTGTGTGTCCGTGTGTGTCTGTGTGTGTCTGTGTGTGTGTATCCATGTGTGTCCGTGTGTGTGTGTGCTCCAGTCTAACTCTGGAATGCCTGGGCCGCTGAAAAGAAAAAAGACTGAATTAGATCTACAGCGTCAAGTCACAGTACTTTTGACAGTGATAGTGTGCATTTTGGATTCAAGTTTGTTAAGATACAGCCTGTTGTGCCTTCAATCACCTTCTACAGTACAGCACAGTGGAGTCGCTATGGTAACAGCTTTCGCAGTCCTCCATAAAGGAGCTCCCTCTAATACAGGATTGGGATAAATATATACCTGGGCTACACCGGGTTATCAGCTAGTACACTATAATGTTGAAACTTCTAAACCCAAGTTTTCACACACGCCCCGGAAGATCATCTCGCACACACTCCCCCAGTTGGAAACCTCTGGGCGAGAGTGTCTAACTTTGGCAACTTTTAAGACTTGTGGACTTCAACTCCCAGCGCTGCTGGCTGGGGGATTCTGGGAGTTGAAGTCCAGCCATCTTAGGGTTGGCAGACTCTGCGCTAAGCTGTCAACTTTCCGTGTTGACATTCCACGCATCCCGTCGGCGGAGCCGGATCTCAGGTTCTAGCAGCTGGTTTGAGATGGGTGTATCTATTGGGTAACGTGATTTATGACACAGACTGAGGGGAGGAAAGGAACGGGGACAAAGTTCAGAAGCAGATAAAGAAAGCAAAGAAATGGCTGCGAATATATCTTGCCTAATGAAGCTTTTTAACAAATCACTGGTTTTTGTATTAAAACATCGGCTGGATTATTATGAATCAGTTACGGCATCGTTAGGAAACTTTACACTCAGCCATTTCCCAGGAAATGGTGTCTGATCTCCCTTTTTTCTTCGCAGAAAATTCAGTCCCCGATCTTTCCCTCCGGAAACCTCAGGGGATCGACCCGAGACGGAATATTTCGATCCGGCTGGAAGCAAGGAAAGCAGCTCAGTTACTGTACCAGAATGTTCTGGTGGTGCCTGATGGGACAACACTTCTGGACGTGCTGGAAGCTGCAGCCAAAGATGTCCAGCAGCCTTTGAGGTCAGCACCTCGTTCTCGGGGTTTTGGGAAGCCAAGGGGACCTTGGCAAGAGAATGTGGGGTGGGATGGCTGCCTTGGGACCTGGCTGTTTGGCCCGGAGTCACCCAGCTGGCTTTCAGGCCAAAGGCAGAGGTAGAACTCCCAGCCTCCTCCAGAGCGGAGGTGGCGCAGTGGTTAGAGTGCAGTACTGCAGGCCACTTCAGCTGACTTATCTGCAGTTCAGCGGTTCTAATCTCACCGGCTCAAGGTTGACTNTCTCTCTCTTCTCTCTCTCTCTCTCTCCCTCCCTCCCTCCCTCCCTCTCTCTCTCTCTCCAACTAGGTCACAAGGAGAAAGGCCACCCGGTCACCAACTACTACCAGTACAGCTTGGGGGTCTTGGCCTTGTGTGTTCACAACAAGAGGACCGATCCTGAGGTGATCCGGAAGCTGCTGTCGGCTGAACACCACGGTAGATTCTCTCACCACCAGACATTCTCCGTAGGTAAGATCAGCCGCGCCCAAACCTTCTTCCTGATGGAGGTGCTTCTTTTAGCCCTTTGGCCCAATTTTGCCGCTGGTCAGGGAGCATATGCACACCGGGAACAGGCTCCAGCTGTTCCTCTGCCTCACTGCTGTCTAGCTCCAGAGGCCCCTGATCACTGCCAGACGGCTTTGGCCCTGTCTCTGCCTCCGACGCAGAGCCCTCGTCTGAGCCTTCCCCAGCCTCCAGGACTGGCCCAGGTTCCTACCCAATCCTCCTCACTGTCCGACTCTGCTGGCTGCTGGCGGGCCGCGACGCCTTCTCCCAGTTGGGTGGGATTTGTTGAGGGGTGCCGGGGGCCGAACTGGCAGTCTTGGGACGTCACCCCGTCCTTCTTTTCCTGTCCTTCGCTCAAGACACGGAGGCCATGGCCGGCTTGGCTTTTGTCTGTTTGGAACAAAGTCCAGGATACCCCGACGGCCTCCAGGTCAGCGTGAGCAAGGCTGTGAAACGAGCGAAAACAAGGATCCTGGACGCTCGGATGGAAAACGGGGTTTACAGGAACATCTACAGCACACCCCTGGCGGTGCAGGTGAGGAGAGGGTCTCCTTTTCCCCTGGAATTGTCTTCCTTGAGGGTAAGGGGGTGTTTATCTTGGGGGGGTGGAGGTCATTTATTCACGATTAATGACATAGAAGGGGGAAAGCGACGCGGTGGCCTAGAGGTGAAAACCAGGGGTAGGTTTCTTCCGGCTTTACTGCCGGTGTCAGTGCGCGCGTCATTTTGCTCCAGGTGCCTGCACAGTTACACGCTTCGTGCGCCATGCTCAGAACATTTAAAAAGGTGAATAAATGACGTTGTGGGGACCGGTTTGGGGCGTGGAGAGCATACCGGTTCGGAGACCCAGTCGCCATTCCCACTAGTGGTTCCACCGAAACCAGTGCGAACTGGTAGGAACCCACCGCTGGTGATGATGCTTTCCTTCCTCTTGGAAACCTGAGAATTTAATCCAAGGCATGTTTCTCTCTCAAAGCATAGAGAGAAAGTATTTGCTGTGAATTCCACATAGGCAGCAGGAAGGGGCATCCGGAGATTAAATACTCCGCTCCGTGTAATCTCTCCGACTCCACCCTGAATCAAGCGATTAGATTACCCCCCCCCCAAAAAAAAAAGACATATAAGGGGGCACGATGGCTCAGCCGTAAAAAACGCTGAGCCTATTAGCTGGAAAGCTGACACCCTGGGTTCGAGACTCTGGTGAACTCTTGTTCCTGCCCCAGGGTTTGTCCACTTAGCCGTTCGAAGTAACGCAAATGTGAGTAGATAAATAGGTACCATAGGATTGGGAAAGTACCAGCGTTCCATGCTGGGGGGCGGGGTGTTGGTGTATTCACTTATCTTTCCCACCGATTCGCAAATGTTAACGGGCTCGTGTTGTGCTTTTGGCAAAAAAAGGCCCTACATGGGATGCCGTAGATTCCGGGTGGGTGGGCGGGGTCACCTACGATTTCCGCTTTCTTCTGGCAGCTCTGTGCATGCGCACACTGGGAACAGGCTCCAGCTGTTCCTCTGCCTCACTGCTTCCTAGCTCCCTAGGCACCTGATCACTGCCCGACGGCCTCGGCCCCCGTCTCTGCCTCCGATGCAGAGCCCTCATCCGTGCCTTCCCTGACCTCCTCACTGTCCGCTCTAACGGTTTGGGAGAACTGGTCCAAACCGGTAGAATGCCACCTCTGGTTCCATGATACAGTCGTACCGCCGGGCACATGACCACTGAAGCGTCTTTCGGACGATGCTGGCTCCCACGGCTAAGAAACGGGGCTGAACACTGCCCCCTAGAGTCAGACACAACTGGACTTTTTAACTTTAACGACCTGTAGAGGGCGCTTTCTTCTCTCATCTGGGGCGAACTTTTCCATCTGCTTGGCAATCTAGTTTTTGAGTGCTGTCGGGATGAGTCAGAGCCAACGGGAGTTCTCCAGCAGCATGGCGGCCCTGAAGCAGAGCCTGGAAGAGAGCAGCTTCCAAAACAATCTGATCCGGTCACAGCTGCTGCCTGCCTTGTATTGCAAGAGTTACCTGGACGTTGCCAGCATGACGTGCGAAACTCAGACAGGTAAGGAAGGGGGAGAAGGAAGGCAACGAAGGTGACTCCGGCTGAAGGGGGAAAAGTGACCGATTAGAGTAAGGGTGTCCAGGCTTTTCTATACCCCTGATATATTCTCGCACCCCTTAAACAATTAATTATATGCATTTAATTATACATACTATAGATATGAAAGAGGGACGCAGTGGCTCAGTGGCTAAGACGCTGAGGTTGTCGATAAGAAAGGTCGGCAGTTCGGCGGTTCGAATCCCTAGCGCCGCGTAACGGAGTGAGCTCCCATTCCTTGTCCCAGCTTCTGCCAACCTAGAAGTTCGAAAGCACGTAAAAAGTGCAAGTAGACAAATAGGAACCACCTTTGGTGGGAAGGGAACAGCGTTTTGTGCACCTTCGGCGTTGGGTCATGCCGGCCACATGACCACGGAGACGTCTTCAGACAGCGCTGGCTCTTCGGCTTTGAAACGGAGATGAGCACTGCCCCCTGGAGTCGGGACCGACTAGCACAGATGTGCGAGGGAAACCTTTACCTTTATAAGATACAGGGAAAAGGTTGCTATGTGGATAAGAAGTCTTCACTGCCATAATCTGACAGATAATCATAATTGTTGCCGGAAGTGACAGGTCTCTCTTTCTCCTAAAAAAATTACAGGAAAAGAAACCGGAAGTCCCCAAATTGTCCAAGAAGAAACTGAGGCGGATGAACCGTTTTGCTGTGGCTGAGCTGAAGCAGGTATGGCTTCCATTTCTTTTATTG